ATTATACAGTTAAAGTTATAGAATTCAAACTTTAAACTTTTTAATAAAATCTGAACAGATGATCTGTGCTTTTTTTTTTTTTTTTTTGGAACTGGCAGGTTTCAGGCCCTCTAATTGGCTTCCCAGCTTTGCAGAGTAATTACAGCTTCAAGCAAACTTTGTCATCTGTGGTTCAGAATGGTGTAAAGTAAACAGAACGTTTTGAAATACAGTTTGTAGTTAGAGTTGCTCAGGAGAGTTTAACTAGCATAACTACTTAATTTAGACAGTAGCAGTTATTTGAAAAAGATAGTCTAGCATTTTAGAATTGTCAGGTTGGTTGTTGATATGAAGACAAAAGTTAACCTCTGGTATGTACCTGACTTTGTTTTGTTTTTTAAAAGGATAATTTCAATAATTGAGAAACATCCATTGCATTTCTTTTCACTGTTCTGATTTTTTTTTTTCCATTTTCGGTATACATCCAAAAATGGCCAAAGGAGTGCTATGCACTTGTTGGAACAGAGTTGTCATTCCCTGTTTTACTGTTTTTGTATTTTGCTGCTTTGAACAAGTGTTCTCCCCCAAGGTATTTCCTCCCCTCTAATATTAAAGGAAAAGTTCTCATGACTGAGGTTTCATCCCAGGAAGACAGAAAGCTTTAGGAATAAAATGTGTAATTCCAAGTTGTAGATGGCTAGCATACAAGAACACAAAGTTGAGTCTGTCTGTTTACTGGCTTACTCATCTTTTTGAATGATAATTTAGACTTCCAACTGTTTTGAGTTGAGATTCAGTCCTTTAATTACATATGTTTATGTATAGTAGCAAACTTGAAGACATTATGGTAGAATGTTCTCTACTCTTGGTAATGACCCAACTATCACTCGAGCATTCGGAGCCAGCTCTCAGTAGCCAGTTTCACTCTTTCTTCTGTGCTTTTGTATTTTCCAAACTATTCACTCAGTCTTAAACTACTATGCTTTTTCCACTAATTAGTAGAAAAATATTTTGGTAATTAGCAGTAACTGTGTATTACAGCACTTATTCATCTTAATAGCTTTCTTTCCTCTAGTAGTAGGTGAAATATTCACAGATTAATTTTTATTCATGTTGCAGTCAGGGCAGGAATACTGTTCAGCCCATACATTTGTGTACAGCAGCACATGAAGCATGTGGGGCTACTAAATATCAGCAGACTGAAGTTATTTTTACCTATTTGAGAAGAATGGGTAGTACACCTCTTTTGGGAATACACTGGTCCTCCACTTCTTTCTGAAACCCTTTTTGCTTCATAAGGGATGGATATGAATATATTCAATTTTAACCTTCTACAAGGAAATCAAATCTTTAGCCACTTCTAACAGAATATTACCAAAACTAATTAAGTTTTCCTAAATTTTATTTTCCAATAATTTCCTCCAGTGATAGTGAAATGGCATTCTTGGGGGTTATTTGTCTGGAGGTTTTTTTGTTTTCAGTACCATTTTCAATTCTTAAGGTTTTTAGTACCTTTTATTGATTTAATTATTCATCTAAAAATCTGAAAAATCAGATTTTTTTGTAGTAATGTTTTATTATTATCTATAGTGTTAATAAATATTTTGTTCTTGTTAATAATGTGCATAATCACTTTGAGGGTTGACTTAAAAAATTTAATGTAAGTAGTATATTAGATACAGATTTACTTGAAGTACATACCAATGTATATATTTATTATTTTTATAGTATATTATATATACTATATGTCTATTATATAATATATATTATATACTATATATAATATACTATATATAATATACTATGACTATAATATGTAACTATATCTTATATCCTGTATATAACATATATGTAATATACTATACTATATATATAATATTTTATACATATATAGGTGAAGATCATATTATACATAGCATTTGGACATAAGCAGATGTAATTCTATTTGTTCAATTTTTTATACATGAGTTGGAAAACTTAAATAATGTAATTTAAATGTATTCATATTTTGTATATTGACAAAGAGAAAATATATAGTGGAATTCAAAATCTTCAGTTTCATCAGAGGCATTGGAGAGGATGTGCTTTCTGATTGGTACAGATTTTTCTGCAGGTTTGTCTCTGTACCTTTTTTCCTTCAGAATGTCCTAACACAGTCAGCTCATGTTTCTCTCTGACAGCTTTTTTCACCTTCATTCCTCTAAACTAGGTACTCTTGTCTGGCTATATTCTAGCTATCCCCATACTTTTCTTTCTCATATAGGTTCCAGTATTTTTCCTGTCCTATTACCACTTTCCTCCCTTTATTTCCTAGTCTTTTGTTCATAACAGCTCTCCTGTAAATAACTTGCTGTATGCCATCTTTCTCTATTGCATTTTGCCTCAGTGACGTACTTTCTTTGTCATACTGTCTGAAGAAGAGGGTAAGGCATTATGAATATAAGTGAAATGCTTTCAATTTAGCATGTGGAGAGGCAGTAGATAGCTGTAGTCTCTGGATTATACTCAATGCCTAGACTTTTAATGATTTTATGCTTTAGTAATTGTTACTGTAATTTTTTACCTTCCTCCCACTGCACTCTTATCCCTCCCACATGTAGTGTGGCCAGATGCCTTACATTTTCATAGGAATACTAAAAGGATATCAAAGGTCTTGATTTGCCAAGTTTTAAGTCTCTTCTCCAAAAAGCAGCATTTTCCAGCAGTGTGCAGCTTTAGGCAGACACCCAGTAAAGAAAATTTCAGCCTACATGATTGAAGTGTGATAGGATTAAAGATGAGAGGATGGTTTTGTCAGGAGTAAGATGAGATAATCTTAGAGCAGACAATGCTTCTAGTCTCTTCTGCTAGGAAGGTAGCCCCACATGTTCCTTGGAACTTCAGCTGAGGGAGTTAAAAAAAAGCGCCTGTTAACCTTCCCTCCACTGTCACTGTGATCGTAGCTGGACTTCACCCATCCCCCTGAGGACAGGGATTTCTTTGATCTCATGGATAATTGCACTGGGCTACAACCCTGGTTAGGTACCCTAAGCAGCTCTACTTCATCGTGCTTCTGTCTGCCTTGTTTCCCTTCCAACTTTTGTGTTAAACTCCCTCTTCCTGTGTCCATCCTGCTGTAGATCTTTCTTCATGTTGAGGATGGTTCTCATTCCATCCAAGACCTAGCAGAGCATGTGTAAGCAATGAGGGTGAACTACTGTTCCTCATTTTTAATGAAATGTTTGTTAAATGGAACGTCATCTCTGTTACTGAGATTACTAGTGAGCAGTCTGACTTACATAATAATTTATAGATGTATGGTGAATATATAAGTTTGCTCATTAAAGAATGCACATGTGCACAGGACAATATTCACTCCTTTTGTTTCTCATACCTGTGTCTGTCAAGCTTCTGAGGTGTTCTGCTAAGCTGCAGAAAAAAATACTATTGATAGTCATATCCACTTCCACACTTCTTTGTTTTTTCAAATAAAAAAAAAAATTGCAGTAGATGATAGTTGAGGTTTCAGGATCCTGAATTTGTCAAGAGAAAATATGTCAAGCCAAAATAATTTATTTCTGTGAAAGGAAAGCATGCCTTGTTAAGTGGTACATGTCATATGACTTCTGCAAAGCGTTGACATTAACTGGAATAAAGAATAGTAAGCTGCATAAGTAAAAGGTGTGGGTCAACTGGTAGGTGGTAGCTATATCAAAAAGAAGTTACAGCAGATTGTAGGTGAACAGGAATTCATTTACCATATCATTATTGATTGATTTGTGAACCTGATGAATCATTTTAGATCACACGCACACATTTGATCTGGATCAGCTTTGAACAAGTGATAATATTCCAGACATGAGATGTGATGGTTTGTGTCTACGTTGTGGTAGCTGCAGGAAAATGAGTAACACTTTTGACAGAGTAACCTTAGCTTCTCAAAAATGTTTAAATGTATTTGCATGAATAAGGAGTTTTAGTTTGTCAGAATTTTGCAGCTGTAATGTTTGGTACAGCATCTTAGAACTGATACACAGCAACACCAAACCATTGCCTGAATTGCTAGCATTGTGGTCTTGCCACAAAGGAGTAATAAGTGGTCTGAAATGTGTCTGGAGTTGTGGAACAAGGAAGATCTCTGATCTGAAAGCACAACTGGTGAGGAATGCATGGATTGAACTGACTTAAAGAAGACTGAAGAGAAATAAAGCAGTGTTCAAATGTCTAAAAGGGACAACTGCTGGAAAGATGAAGTAATTTAATCAAAAGGACAAGAAACAGTATGCTGAAATTATAGGAACAGTTGCATTTAATCCTAGGAAAAGTCTTACACCAATAAAAATAGTTAATTTCTTTATAGTTGGATAGAATAGTTTGCTTACAGGGGTGTTGAAATTAGTACTTTTTGGGGATTTTTGAAAGAGTGTAGAAAAATATTTATGTGAAATAGCATAGGTAGATCTGATTCTGCCCTAGGGCACAAAGTGAATTAGATGATTTCCTGGGGCAGCCCCACTGGTGGTGTGTGTGGGGTTGTTCTATATTTAATAATCAGACTAATTTAAACATCTGAATTTTCTTAGGCTATTTTACAATAAACCTTACCCTGAAGTGACAGTACTATCAGTAATTGTAACATGGTTACCATTGAAGGGAAAATGTCATATTCCTCCTGCTGGGTGCAGATGGAAAAATATGCCAGTGGCTACTGCTGTTTCCTTGGCATGCTATAGCAATGCAGGATCTAATATTCTTCTTAGCCTCATAACACAGACCAAGTTAACAAATGGAGATGGCACTTTTACATGGACAATGATACAAGTTCCATCGATTCCTCTGACTGCTTTGTTCACCTGCTTTATTGTTACCTACTGCCTTTTGTTCAGACCTGTGGTTGTATTGCTGTTCTGTATTTCCTCGTGGGCTGGATAGATCCTGAATAGGAATGCATAAGCTGAATGAATTTCATCTAAGTGATTTTATTTGCTTTTCACCCATTAACTGGCAATGTATAAAAGAGGCAATGTCATGTATTTGTCTAGAATGTCAGCTAATGAAAACAGAACGACCAAAGCCGAACACATTCATTATCAGATGTCTTCAGTGGACCACTGTCATAGAGAGGACGTTCCATGTAGACACTCCAGAGGAACGGTGAGGGTTTTATTCTTGTTTTCCTTTTCATAATCCTTGTGCAGAAGCTGCAGCAGAGTCTCTGCTGGGCCTGCACAGCAATCAGCACTTGGAACTGTGACATTCTGAGCAGTTAGTTAAAGATTTTTAAGTCAGCTTCTGTAAAATATTATCTGAGCTCATAACTAGAGTAAGAAGAGTTGCCTGCGAGTAGGTGGGATGAGTGTGTTCAAATAAGCCAAAACTATGTCATGATATGTCTCTGAAGTGTTAAATTTTGAACTTCCAAAGCCTGGATTGAAATATTTCCAGCCTTGCTGTCTTACTCCTCCTAATGTGCTCCTTTCTTTTGGCACAGAAAGCAGCATGCTTATTATAATTTATTTTATGTTGGCTTATTAGTTTTTCTTGTTTCAGTAAACATTCACAAATGCTTAAGAATTAACTTTTTTAATGCACCAAAAAGTTTTTAATGCCTGTAGGAGCTATGGGATAATGCCCTCAAATTTTCCATACTCTGTCTACTGTTAGATGCATGGCATCTTCCTGCTGTGGACATCTGTCCTTTTGAGACCAGTACTATCATCTGGCTATCATTTTTTGTATCAGTAAATAACCAACAACTTTGCTTTTTCTGTTGTTTCACTTTGAGGTTTTTTTTATTCTACCTTGGTACCATGTCTCCACCTTGTCTTTTTTTTTGTGCAGTGTAGTAGCTCACATTGCACTCAGGAGTAAATACCACAAAAAAATCCCATATTCCTTTCTGGCTGAGCAAGAGGCAGCAGGTAGCGTGCTTGGTGTGGGGCTGTGACCTGCTCAAGGGCTGCCTGGTTTGTCTGTGCTGCTCTGCTGGCCCTGCTTATCCCTCCACAGAAACCATCCCCTGGGCCTGCCCCTCAGTGCAGCCACAGGTTTTCAGGATACTTGTAGGAATGTAGAATCTTTAAGTGCCTTTTTTGAGGGAAATTTGCAAAAAAGCCTGTAAGTTGAGTTTTAAGAGAAGAGAGACAAAGACTTGAACATATGATATGGTTTAATAAATCCTATTTTCTTTTCCTCTGAAAGTGTCTTGAAGGGAGGGGGAATACGAAAAACCCTCCTAAAATAGCAAGTTACTATTATGAGATGATAGATACTATTGCATAAGAGATGACATCTTGTGCTCACAGGTGTATTATACCTGGAACAAGTGTTTTCAAGCTTCCACTAATACTTACAGAATCAGAAGCTGCTAATTCTTGAAGTTACCCATATAGTGATCCTTTCTGGTCAACTTCACCCCATTTAAGAAAACACAGGATTTGGAAGGAAATTCAGGTGACTGATTAATATGAGTCTTCTGCTGTGTAACCTAAGAATTGAACATTGAAGCAATGTAACATGTGAAAAACTTTATGAACTATGCAATATATTCTATGAGTTTCTAACAGAGGTGTTGGCTTGTTCATGATAGGGAAGAATGGACAGAAGCAATCCAGGCTGTAGCAGACAGACTTCAGAGGCAAGAAGAGGAGAGGATGAACTGTAGTCCAACTTCTCAGATAGACAATATAGGAGAAGAAGAGATGGATGCTTCAACAACCCATCATAAAAGAAAGGTAATGACCTTAAAAAATAACTTTTGAGAATGGTCTAGTTGGGTAAAGCAATGTGCAGGGAATAGTATTTCATCATAAATTTCAGTGTAATGTAAGATCAAAGTACTTATTTATTTCAATAAAGCTGAACTGCTCTAGTTTCATTTATTGGTTAAGGTGATATGGCACTTCTGAAAAACAAAGTTCAGCCATTCAGGCACATGCTAACATTCTTCTTATTGTTTGACTATTTTTTTATGCTTTTGTTTGTTTGCTATTTTAGAAGTATGGTAATAAAATATTTTCTTTAGACAAGTACTTTTGCTTCTTTTCTCATACAAATAATACCCAGTACAAATTAGGTGATTTGCATGAGAAAGGCTAGCAGGATCTGGCTTTTAATGACCTTGGGTTTTGCTAACTTGGGAAATAACTTTGCTTTAGTTTTCAATGAAGTAAGAGAAAACAGCATTTCATTTTTCTGTGATCCTTTACAGCTTTTGGTGTTAGTAGGAACATGTACATTGCTGCCTATAACATATTTGTGGTTGCATCTCCAGAGTCAACAGGTTAAGCACACAGCCAAGATCATGTTTTAAAGAACTGATGCCACTCAAAGTTTGCTCATGTGTCTCCATTTTGTCCTCTATGGACTACTCAAACTCATGTCTCTCATTTACTATACAGAGTTGACATGACTCAAGAAATTGACTGAAATTGCATGAAAAAATAATAACCAGTTTACATAGGACTGGATTTACTTTTTCTAGCTAGAAGTGAAACCTGTAGAAAACTAAGTAGAAATCTGCTGACAGAGCAAAACAGTCTTATAGCTAATATAACTGTAATTATAGCTAATATACAGTTAGCTAATAGCTAACTGTATGTTATAGCTAATATAACTTTGAGTGATGAACAATACAAGAAATGGTGAATATTTCTCTATTTACTAGTAGAGTGTGTTTTGTTTGTTGTGATGCATGAAGCAAGAACCATAGAAAAGTCAGGGCTAGAGCTATACCCTTCAGAATATAAAAAAGATGCCATAGGTAACTTTAGTTCTATCATGTCCTAATTTTTAAGAACTTGAGTTTGCTGTCAAACAGAGTTCTTTTTATGCAATTTCATTGTATGCAAATTTCTAACCTTTGTCTGCTATAGAAAAAGTTAAAATCAATTATATAGAGCTGTAACAATGCTCTGAATATATATTGTTAGGCTGACTTTAAACCTTTAGCCTGATGGCATGGATATTTAATGGCTGTGCTCCAGGGTAAAATATAAGTGGCAGCGAGACAGAGGCAGTGTTTAAGATGTGTCAGCCTTGTGAGAGGCAGTGTGATTATGTGGAAGGGATTTGGGGCTGCTCTGTTAAAGATCTGAGCACTGTTCCAAGCCTGTGTATCCTCTTAGTGGAGTACAAAACCACTGTGTAACAGCACTCGTTTTCCAGGTGTCAAAATGAATGCTGATACAAGTAGTTTATCTGGAATGTGCTCTCCTTGTTCACAGTGCAGTGTGTTTTCCCATTCAGCAAAAGGGGTTGTGGAAACAGGGGTAGGAGGATCAGTTTTGTTTCTGTCTTGCCACTTGTGCTTTAAGAAGTGCTGAAATAATATGCTGGGACAGTGTATGGGCAGGGCTATGGAAAATTTAATGGCTTTGGCAACCAAAAGCAAATATTTAATGGCTTTGGCAGCAAAAAGCAAACTCTACAAAACAAAGGTGAAATGAAGAATGTTGATATTCAGCATCTAATAACAGAGCAAAACAGCAGAAAAAAAAAGGAAAAAAAAGATAAATAAAAAGGTAATAAAGTAAAAAAAAGAAAAGAAAATAGAAATAATAGAGCCAAAACTCAGAATCCCACAGCAGATTTCTATGTGTTGGAAGATGTTAGTGAAAGATGCTCAGAAGTTTTTGGAATAAAAAATGTGAAGTGACCATTATGACAGGGAATTGCCAATGCTTCCAACTTGATTGGATTGTGAAAAATAGGTCTTTTAAAAACTGTTTCTGTTTTGTAGAAATGTCTCTGAAAAGCTGTTGTTTAAGCTTTCATAGTTGTTAATGTAATCAGAACCATTTCAGTTATAATGAATTAATGCATTTTTATTGATTTTTTTTTGTATTGGATTTCTTTCCTTTCAGGGATTTTTACACAATGTGTCCTTTTTTGACAAAAGCTTGTTTTGTCACCTGATTTTACATCTAAGCCCAGTGAATTTTCCTTGTGCATGCACCAGATGGTATACATATGAGTAGAAGAGCATAATCAGATTAAGAGACAAGACAGAGAGGAGTTGGGCCTGTTCTTCTCTGAAAAGGTAGCGAAAAGAAAACAGCCTTTAGGATGTGAAACTTGATTTGAATAAACATGACAGCTACATCCCTGCTTAGATTAGCTGGAAGAACCAGAAGCACCTCTTCCCCAATTTTTTAAAATGGTGTCAATGTGCAATTCAAGTTTTACACATCACTAACATTTGCAATACTCAAATTTCTTAGCAAACTACTTTTACTTTTTGGCTGTACTATTACTTCTTAGAGTTTTTCCCCTGATGAAATCAGATGTAAACTCCTAATAATTGTGCACATCAGGAATTTAAGAAAAAAGTTAGTTTCTTTGGAAGGAATTTTCAACACCTACATTAGGGTGTATTTTTTGAGCAGATCATCCATAGGGGATGGTGTGTTTGGATGGCCAACAGATATTTCCTTAGGGGAGTAAAAAGGTTTTATAGAAAGCTGAACATCATGTTTTTTTGGTTAGATCAGTCTCCTGTGGCTTCATTGCTTTTTCTTTGTTTACAAATTTGATTTGCAGGATGCAGGATGAATAAAGAACAGATTTTTCAGAGGAAGCCTAAAAGTAATGTAATGAAGAAAAGATTCGAAACTTGGAGTACAGTAGGAATGAAAAACTAGGGAAAATCATGAAGGAGAAAGAATCCAATCTTACAGGAGCCTCCAGAGTTACCATCTTCCTTCAGGTTTAGGAAGTATTTCCATTTTTCCACCAGTTTTCAGTACACCCCTTGCTATGGCATCTGTGTTTTTATCTCCCAAGGTCTTGTGTTCTTTGGCAGACTTTTTGAGTTACCCTGCACTGCGTATCATCTCTAAGCCTTCTGCTAAGCTTCTAAGGAATGAGAGCATCAGGAGACTTTATTCTTAGAACTAACACTACCGCCATAATGTGCTGTTAAGCCATGGCTCAAAATCTTGCAAACCTATTACCTTTCTCTTATAAATATACATATATTTTTAACTTGTTTTCACTGAGCTTGCATCTAGATTCATGACTGCTTTGCTGAACATTATGTAAGCAAATTTTGGGCAAATCAGTCTTTCAGTTTGACTGACTTGCTGCCCTTAGTGTCAAATCCATGTCTGTGATCAGTTGAGCCAAGATCCTCCTTCTGTGTGTGGGCAAAGGGCAGTTTTTCTGACCTGGTTTTATTCAGACTCTGATGGTCACTCTCTAATTCCAATGTCTTAGAGAAAATCAGAAGTGCTGGAGAAGTTACTCCTCCAAGGCTGCATGTGATCTCATAGATTTGTGACTGTTAAAGGGATGGGTTGTTACAGTCACTTAACTCACAGTTTCTCAGTCACAGCTCAATATTTTCTATCAATAAAGCTGTCAGCCATTGTTTTTCAGGCAGCACAGTAGCTTATGACTGAAGGATTCTGCCCTGAATTACTCTTCTTCTGCTTGAATTGTGTTTTGAATGCATTTTTAATTTTTCATGAGTTTTTGTCAATATTCACTGCTTTTGCTCAAAGGCAATTGTTTTCTGCTTGATGGTTGTCACAGAACCATGGAGTAGGTAACCTGACTTCCCAAAGTACTGACCTGAAAGTGATCATTGAGAAATCTTACCTTTAGTTGATTGAAAACAAGGAGCCACACAGTGTTGTGATCACAGCTTCACATACTACCTCATGCACTGCGGGTTATCACACATTAGAGTAGGTTTTTGAAAAATTGACTCTTCAAGGATTTGTCTGTAGTAATAAACTTTACATTCAGTTGTGTAAAAAAAATTTGCTTTAGGTAAAAATTTTACTGAGCCTTTGAAATCTCTGTTACCCATATTTCTTGCTGGGATGAATGCAGTTTTGTTCCTCCTGATGTGAGGTGGTTTGAGCAGCAAAGCAAGATCTGTCACTGCAAAATGTTTGTGTGACCATCAAGTTAGTTGGCTTAGAAGCTACCAATCAACAGTTAGATGGGAAAAAGATTTAATTCCTATTGATACAGTTAGAGTTGATATATGGGAAGCACCTTCTTAATGAAGCTTTGAAACACCCAGGTGTTAAATGCAGTGTTGAAGACCTTTTGCAGCTTTGAAGTTGCAGGTTGAACACTTAAAAGCTGAGGAATTGCACATTGGTGTGGTTGATGCAACTTCAGCCTCGTATGTGAGCACATTGCAAACTGACTCTGAGTGAACAACTGCATAAATTGCTTTCAGAGTTCGTCAACAGCAAATTCAGATCCACAGTATCATGCACTTGAGCTTAAAGGAATAAATAATTTCAGAAGGTGATTTTGCCCTTTTTTCTCTCACCCAAGTGAATATATTTTGCTGCCGCTATTTGCTGTCACACACCAGGGATATGCCCAATGCCTCTACACCTGGAATGCGTGTGAAATATGTAGGCAGTGTTAAGAGGTATTTCTGGTAGAGATAAGGAAAGTACTAATTCTCTTGTGGAAACTACAAGTAGAAGTTTATCCAGAAGAGCAGTATTCAACACAATTGCCTGAGGCCACGACTAGAGATAGAAAGAGGCACTGAGAAGATGAAAGATAAGGGATGATCTTTTTCACTCACAAAGCGGGATTAAGTACATTTAACTTAGCAATACTGAGACTCAGAGTATAATTACTCTTTAAAAATGTTTTGAGGTGTGCTTTTCACAAAGGAAGAAAGGTCACTGAGGCTGCAGGCCAGTGTTATAACAAGAATAGGTGAGGGTATTTCCTTTCAGAATTTGCAGCTGCTTTTCTCCAGTTGCAAAACTCAAAACAAAATGGTTTTGTGGTGCTGCAACCAAGCCACTAACACAGCACAATGAAACATGTGCTGTAGAAGCACCTAGTGATTGGCCAAGTAAATTCTGCTGTCAATTCAAGGCAGCCCTGTGCAGTTACTGTGTTCTCAGTATTGTTCTGTTTTTTCTCTACATCCTCATCGTTGCATCTGCATAGACCATGGAGCTGATGCTTCTGAACTGGGTGTGAAATGAACTTGTAAAAGTAAGAGGATTATTGACTAAAACTTTGGGCTCCAGAATGTGGCTATACTGCTTTGGGATCTGAGATCATCTGGTCATACTCTTACCATGTGTGGCATGCCAGTTGAGCTGATAAACATACGAGACTCAATTTGTCTGTTGATGGACAGACAAATGTCTTGGATGTACTGTGTTTAACCTGCAAAACTAAGGCAGTAACAGAGTCACAGGAAAGATGAAAACTTGCCACCTCCTCCTTTTCAGAGCCAGATTGATTAATGTAAATACCATGTAATTGTAATCTTTACTGAAATTTTAAAAAGTCTAATTGTAATGGAAAGGCTGCTGTAAAGTCTTACAGGTACAACATTTCAGTTAGGATTGTGTATGTTTTAAAAATGCCACCAGTGCAGTGGTTGGTGTTATGCAAAACCTACTGATACACCATGTTTGTGTGTCCCTGGTAATGCAGGAGTTCATGAACTTTCTTAAATGTGGTGCATTCTTGAAACGCTGCTTTAGGCTAGGACTTTGTCCTGTGTGTGCTTTATAAAAAGAAAAGTGTGTGCAGTACTTGGCTTTTGAGCATTATATTAATACTACTGAATGATTTATCCTGCTGATTTAATGACAGCAGCTAGCTGCCTTTGTTGCCTGGGTGAAAAGCAGCAAGAGCAGTGTTCTCTGGGCACTCAGCCCCTCCCCAAACTGGAAGACAGGGAGGGGAAGCAGAATGAAACCCCCATAATCCAGGGGGAAAGGTTCAGTGATCTGATCAATGCTGTAGTGTGTCCAGAGAGGGGCAACAGAGCTGGTAAAGTGTCCAGGGCAAAGTCTTATGAGGAGCAGCTGAGGGAGCTGGGGATGCTTAGCCTTGAGAAAGAGTCTCAGAGGGGACCTCACTGCTCTCCACAACTGCCTGAAGGGAGGGTATAGCAAGAGGAGGCGGATTGATCTCTTTTCCCAAGTAAGAAGAATGAAAGAAAGTGGCCTCAAGTTGCTTCAGAAGAGGTTTTAGAGTAGATATTAGGAAAAATTTATTCATTGAAAGAGTTGTCAAGCATTGAAACGGGCTGCCCAGGGAAGTGGCAGAGTCACTATCCCTGTAGCTATTTAGAAGACATGTAGATGTGGCCTTTAGGGACCTGGTTTAGTGGCAGACTTGGTAGTGTTTGGTTAACAGCAGCACTGGATGGTCTTAAGGGTCTTTCTCAACCTAAACAATTCTGTGATTACAAACTTTATCACAGAATTGGGCCTATTTTTGTCAACTGTTTCTATTTTATCGGTAACAGGGTTTGGTTATATATTGGAACTGGATAACCTGAGTCTTGCTAATCCTTGTTCTTTGTTTCTTATAGACAATGAATGATTTTGATTACTTAAAACTACTGGGCAAAGGCACGTTTGGCAAAGTTATCCTGGTCCGAGAGAAGGCTAGTGGCAAATATTATGCTATGAAGATTTTGAAAAAAGAAGTAATCATTGCAAAGGTAAGAAAGTTTCTATTTTTACTATTGGGTCATTTTAAAGAATGGAATAATCACTATTTCATACCTAAGGTGTATTGATTTTTGAGGCTAAACTTAGTTTGATAGAAGTATGTGTGTATCTTCAGGAAACAAGAATGCAAAAAAAGTACGTATAACCATTTTGCATGCCTTTTCCCTGTTTTATAATCTAGAATGTGCTAAAACACTGAGAGACTTTACTGGGCAGCAAGATAGTGCAATCTGAGTTTATACAACAAAAAGTGCATTGTGGGGCATATTGGATACTTCACTTTTTTTCCTAAGTCAGTTGCAGGTTTATTCAGATAAACACATTAATTGAATGGGCCTGTGCTCTGTTTCTGCTGTGTTGTATAATATTGCTATGCATGGGACTAACAATTCCATTTTTTCAATTTTTGAGAAATAGGAAAAGTCTGAAGCTGATGGCTGAAGTTGTGATTTAAACTCGCATTGTCCAATCACTTAAACTTGATTAGTGTCACTGGCTCTTGTGCATGGTCATAATGTCACTCAAGCTAAAATTTAGATCATCTACTCTGAGCTTTATTTCTAGCAATTCTGAAGTTTTGAATCCCACTTCCACAGAAGTTGAAAGCAAGAAACCTACATACATGTATCAACATGAGACACAATTAAAAATAATCCCAATTATTTAATGAGGATGTTTTGAGGAATGTGGGTCTGACTGATATTTTTGAATGCTTGAAGTTAACAATATCAGTATGTATAAAAACTGAATGTGAATGGGTAAACACTATTTTATATACATTAAATATTAAAATATCCTTCAGAATTGTAGGGTTTTTCTATTGACCTATGAAAACAAGGCTTACAGGTGTTTTGCAGTCTATGTTCATTGTCTGTCACGCTCTTTCTAATAGCTTTAGAATGTGTAGATCAGTTGCAATTAAATTTGGCAGAGGAGTGGAGATCTCAAAGACAATTATATTTCCTTGAGTGTCTTTATAACTAGCCCTGTTACAGAGGGAGAGATGTAAATTTATGTCTTCAGCAGTGAAGAGGCTGACCTATGAGTTCTGTGTGCCCTCAGCAGCTGTCTTGTGTGCAGTGGCAGCCTGGTCAGCATGTGCATGGTTTGGGCTAACAGCAGCAAAGAGTGCCCTTTTCTTCTTCATAGTCAGGAGGTACAGGAAGAACAGAGGGCATTGCTGCTGCCCTCCCCTGATTCTGCATGGGAAGGAGCCCTCAGTGGCCCTCCTTGTAAGACCTGGCAGCAATCTCTGTGGTTTGCCCTGTGGGTCTCAGAGCCTGTCTGGCTGCTGCATGTTGAGCCTCTGTCTCCAGCCTGACATCCTTGACCAGTGTTCTGCTCACCCCTGGCATCTGGGGATCCTCAGGAGCTCTTGTGAGCTCCTTTTCTGCAGCTGCTGGCTCGTATCCTTCCAGCCTTCAGAGCATTTCAACTTGTTTCTTTGTACCAATACCAAACAGATTTTTAAATTTTTGGGGTTTTCTAATTACTTTGTTGCCTGCAACAATATCACTGACTTATTAGACTTGATTATAGCTGATTATTGGGACACTTTGTCTAAGGTGAGCAAAAAAATCTTGTTCATAGAAGTATGTATAAAGGTAGAGAAATTTTGAAGAAATAAGAGATTGAATTTTAGTTTAGCCCAGTCAGGCTGTGAACATACTATGGGGATTTATCAATAGCATTTAGCTCTGGAGATCAGGGCTAGGGACAGGGTCACTAAGTAAAATAAATCTGCAGTCCCAATTCAGCGTGTAAGTGATATAATAGACACTCTAGAGTCACAGAAAGGCTTTGGTTGGAAGGCACCTAAAAGATCATCTTGTTCCAATCCCCCTGCTGTGGGCAGGGACACATTCCACTATTCCAGGTTCCTGAAAACCCCATCCAACCTGGCCGTGAACACCTCCAGGGATGGGACATCCACAGTTGCTCTGGGCAGCCTGTTTCCAGTGTCTGACCACTCTCTCTGTAAAGAATTTCTCCTTAGCATTTAATCTAAATCTCTCTCCTTTTAGTTTTAGACTATTCCCTCTTGTCCTATTGCTACCTGCCTGTGCAAAAAGTAGCCCTATAAAAGCCCTAAGCATAGTATGAAGCAGAAAAGTGGTGCATTGACAGCTGTATAGCATCTGCCCAGTTCAGACTAAATCTGTTTATCTGACAGATTAATACTACACTTACAAGGAAATTACTACCAATATTACAAACTCCTGAAGCAATTCCAGAAAAACTGGCCATTGCCAGCTTTTTATGCCATATATCTGGTGAACCACAGAGGTTTAAAAATAAATAAATAAATAAATAAATGAACCTTTTGTGCTTGTTTTTCTCCTTGAAGTGTGGTTTTTAGTTTTAGTGTATCCCCCTGTATATGGTTGTAGTGTACTCAATATTGCACTGCTATTCAGCTAAATGGCATCATAATTTATTACCATTGACTCTGTTGTTGTTGTTCAACTTCCTATTTTGACAATTTTTAAAGTCTAATTTAAAACTCCTGACATCTGTGTTTACTTTCCAGTTTAATAATACCTTATCTTCAGAGCATAGTCTGATAAGCATGTGTGTAGTACAATAATGTTATATTGGTATTATTTGTGGCAATAATAACATGTACTCTGACTAAATATATTTACTTCTGTAGGTTTACAGTAGAAGTTTGAGTCACACCAGGGTAGTCTTTAGCTCAGTGTATCATAAATCTCAGCGGTTGCTTAGCACTACAGAAAATGGCTGCACCCTCCCAGTGGCTCCTGGGCCTTTCAGGCTTGGCCCCTGGCAGCCTGGGGAGGGGGATCCACAACATGTGTTACATGCAGAATTGTATAAAATTCTGTGTATTCCCTTAGGGGGATCAGTTCTGTGCTTTTTCTCCCTAGCCCTCAGGAGCTGCTGGTGGTGTAGCTCAGGGCAGCCTCTGCCCGCTGTGCTGGTCCCCTCACCGTGCCCAGCTCTGCTCTCTGCACAGCTGGTGCTGTGACAGCCATGCCCCTGTGCCCTTGGAGCCTTGATGGCACCCTCAGGCTCCTTCTTTGCCCCTGCATGGTGCCCACCCCAGAGCTGGCCCATGGAGGGAGCAGGGAACAAAAATGAATGAGCTTGCCAGGAAGCAAACATCCACAGCAACTGCTCAGTTTCCTTCTCTCACTTTGGTATGGAGCTCATTTTGATCTTTCCTGTTCAGGCTCACAGACAGGAGAGTGTCACTGTCTCTCCCCAAAGTGCCTCTTTTCCAAATTGTGGCTGGAAATGAGTTGAGGGTTATGTGGACATCTCCCATTCCCAAGGATGAGCCAATGTCCTTAGGGATGCTCATCCTGGTCAGAGGAGCACTGCTTGCTGCTAGGCTCCTGAGGACAGCTTGGGTGGATAAAAACAAAACCAACACCAAACCAAGTGGAAGTTTAAAACCAGAAAACCTGACTTGACTTAACACTTGGCTGGATGAGACTGGGTTTTATATTTGCCTGTCAGTTACTCCGTGTGTACATGTCTCGCACATGGGTTTAGTCTCTCTGTAGATACATTGTTCAGGTGATTCATACCAGAGCTGTGAAGTTGTGATGATGACTGTGTTTTTAAGCTATCAAATCCAATATTATAATTTCTTTCTTCTCTGAATTGAGTGTAAAGATTTCATTTTAAAACAAGAAAATAAGAAAACCAAATAAAATATGTTAAATCAGATTTTTGTCAAGTATTTCCTCAAAAAATGTGAAGGTTCATTCATTTTTCAAAACTGTACTGTAGCTTTCTCTTTCTTTCTTTTTTTTTTTTTGCAAAGCGTTGACCTTTTCCTTATAATGAATTAAACAACAATTTTATATCTTAATTCAGACCTACTTCTTCTCCTCTTTATTTCACAGGATGAAGTGGCTCACACTCTTACAGAAAGCAGAGTATTGAAAAACACCAGACACCCTTTTTTAACAGTAAGTATTGAGAACTAGTTTGAAGTGCATTAGTAGGTAATATTTAACATCCATTATGAATGTATTTTACAAATTTTGAATTCTTTCTCATGGTGATTTGTAAACAATCAGTAGCTATCTGGTGCTTATGATATCCTTTATCAGGCTATGTAATTAGGAATTCAGAAATAAAATTTCTAATAAATTTGTGAAGCTTTACTGTAAAGCTTACTGAAAAGAAATTTAATTGTAGAAATGTGTAACCATTGTTCAATTTTTTGCAGTTTTTGTATATGAGCACTTCTAAAATAAACATTATTTTCATTGAATTTCACAGTTTCACAGAAGTGTAAGTATTTTTACTAAGAAAATTTAATTAAAAATTCAGTAAAACAATAAAAATAACTTTTTTATTTGTTCAAATAAGTAGCTTACAGAGCCACACAACTCAAACCCCACTACCTTTTCTTCTTATGGTTAATATTTAATAGAAGGGAAAGACAGAAAAGATGAAAATTTTGAGACTCATGAAAAATTACAATTAATTGATTTAACTTTACAGGTGACTTTTTCTGTAGAAGCAATTCTGATACCTCTTGTTCGAGAATATATTAAAATATATTTCCCTATATTTCAAAATATAATGAGCATGCTTTTTGAGCCAGGGATTTTCTTTTTTTTTTTTAATTAAAATTTTAAAGTGTAGCATGAAAGCTTTCCTATTTAGAAAAACTTAACTTTTTTGGAAAACAGAGGATTGCATTTACATTGGCAGGCCAAAATATCCTTGGAAATTCAGTAAAGATAAAAGAGGTCCTGTAATGTTTCTTGAAGTAGAGTGTAATGGTAAGCAAGAGCAGGGGTACCTCCCATCAAAAAATACAACAATGGTACTGCACATGATACAAGTGGTATCTTATCTTTCTGTTATTCTTCAGCAAGTTTTGTATTGAGATATGCAGTTTAGTCACATATAGTTCTACTGCATTTCCTTTCTTTTAGGCCAAGTCTTCATCTGTAGATTTTCTGTGGTATCATTGATAAGTCAACATTGATAAATCAAAATTTTTAATTAAGATCATAACATCTGTTGCAACTTTAAAATTATATGGAAATTAATATATTAATTTGGCACTTAGCATCCTTAACATTACATAATATGAAACTAGAAAGTCCTTGCTTTGGAAATGAAAGCATGCTGGATGTTAAGATGACTTTTAAAATTTCATTTGGGAGAAATGAAAAAAAATATAATAATCTCTCTCTTCATGGGCACTGTGGAAATGGACATCATAAAGTACAGTCAGTGTAATAGCTGGTACTGTATGAAATTGTGTGTTTTAGTACCCATTTAATACTTTCTGTAATAAGCATGATGTTTTCATATCGTTGGACATGTAGCAGAGATGAAGAAACACTTGAAAGTTTCTGTGTTAATTCATCTCAAGCTCCAGATAAAGTTACACTTTTAATTACTCATAAGGTTCTTGCCAAATCAGAATTTTCTACTTAGAAAGATAAAATTTTGTTACAGTTGAAGTGCAAGACATTGGGTTAATATAAGATGATAATTGGTTTGATTTTGCTGTTTTCTTTTCAAGTCCTTGAAATATTCCTTCCAGACAAAGGATCGTTTGTGTTTTGTGATGGAGTATGTTAATGGAGGAGAGGTAAGTTTAAGAAAATGTTCTGCACTTGTAACAGGAAGGCTGTCTTTGGATTACACCTTTAAGGTTATATCTTTTCCTTGCCTTTTTGCTTTCTAGTATCATTAAAGGGCTTTTGTAAAAAAATTGAACTGTTTTATTTTAAAAAAAAGTTGACATATTCTTATAACTTTTCTGTCAAAACTATTTCCTCTTCTGGAACAATTCGACTTCTGTATAGTGAGAGATAATTTAATCCTAGAGAACTAATTACATATACTTGCTTATTGTTCTTTTTATTTAGGCATTCTATAGCATGTTCTGGCATGAAACAGTCATAATACAGTGTAAACAAGCAAAAATTATATTGATGAGTGTTACTTTTGTCCTAATACAAAATCTGTGCTCTCTTTGCTGTAACTATTGCAAGTATCTATTGGAAATGAGTGGAGCATTCATGTTTCTCATTGCTTGTCTCCATTTGCTGGGTACTCTGGAAATTTCAACTGAAGCACTGAACTTCTTAGAGTGTTGTTAGCTTTGAAGCCATTGCTGTCCTCCAGCTGCTTACTAAAGAATGAAATATCAAAAATGATACCCAGCAAATGGAATTAGAGAACTGCAATCAAAGAAGAAGGCTTTTATCTACCTTTTAGATGCTGTTTGCTATTCAGGCTGTGTCTAGTTACAGCATCAACTGAGGGATTTTCCTTATTTTGTCAACTATATGCTTCATGATAATGTTAAAGGACTATGTGTTTCCACTAGGAGTTTTTTTTTTAATTAAAAGACTTTCTTCATTCAGAATTTGCTGTGGCATGATACGTAATGCTTTACATTATGTTTTAGCTGCCTTCTCCTGCAATAAAACTGCTTAGCTACAATCCCAATGCGTGCAGCCCATTGGATCCCAGCTTGTCCTTGGCCATCCTCTACCAGCCATGCCTAAATATGGTGCTATAGGGTTCTCATATGGGAGGATGGCTTGTTTAACTCAATGTATAAACCCAATTTGCACATCAAAGGAGTTGAACCAGATCCAAAAATCTCCCTCAGAAGTAAAGGGATAACAGCCTTCTCTTGGACACTCAGCTGGCTTATCTGACATTGAATTTACATCACCAATATTAAGTCAGTGCTGTCTGCAATAAATTTTAAGTATTGTCTTATAAACGAACTAATTCTTCATGGTTTTCCTCTGTGTAAGATCTTACTGCATTTCTGTAATCTTTGGGGAGACTGTTTGAAAGTTGAATTTAGCTATTTGTCTTTTTTTCCATTCTGTTTGAATGCAGAGCAGAGCCCACAAAGGATGTTTTCAACTCCTTTCTTATGGCCGAGGATGCTCTGGCTGTATTTTGGTCAATTGTAGTTTGGTCAATTGCATTTCTCTGCATTTCTCTGCAACTTTGTGGCTACAACTGCAAGTGTTGTGTGTCATGGGTTTGTGGGTGGCAGCCTGCCTTTGCTTTGTGCATTGCAATTGCAATGTACTCAGGATTGGGTTACTTTCTTCCAGGTGTGGTGCTGCTGGTTGTCAGTGTTGCTCATGTACTTTGCTGATGGTTCTCTAGTTCAATGAAGCTAACTCTGAAGTCTTGCCACAGTGGGAAAAAATGGCCTTTTGGGAGTAGGCAGTATTCTTTGAGGAAACTCTCTTGATTTGCCCACATGCTTCTCTTTGACTAGAGATCTGGAGTAGTAAGTTGGACAAACTGTCTTTTTTAATAGGAAAGTCTTTAATCTTACCAAATTTTCTTGTGAATTTCAGACTTTAGTCAGTGTCTTCCAAAAAATACAGAGGATTTCATATTTGTAAAAACAGCCTTATTATTAACTCAGAGTAAGTTGCTCAAAGTTTAGCCAGCATTTTAGCTTATATGATACACGGACTTTTTTCTTTTGCTTCTTCTATCTACTATTCTGTTTGTGTTTCAAGGAAGTTACATTTCCCTATATATTCTGACTGTTCAAGGTGTTGAAAATTCATCTTTTAATTATTTCCTTCCATTGGGAAATTGACTGTAGATGTACTGTGTTGCTTTTGATTCTCTCCAGTGCTGTGCTACCTTCAATGTGTTTCTGTTTAAAATTCCTTTCGATCACATATTTCTTTTTAGGTAAACTGTTGCGCCTGAATCAGTTTGTTGGGAATTTTCATGGATTGTGTCTTTCAGGAGCACTATTATCCAGGCAGTTCTCCTCATGAAGGAGTTCTTGGAAGTTTGTATAAATATTCTTGTCTCCTACTCAGGTGAAAGCAATAAAGTGCCACCATTTAGGCTTCTGCCCTAGAACAGTAATAAAAACTGTGGTCAGCAATAGGAGCCTTTGCTTCCTCTTTCTATAGCTAGAAAAGAAAACAGTCAAGGAAGGGGACACAGAACTTCATACTGGAGGAGAAGTAGTTGTGTTAAATGACTGTAAGCAAGAATCCTTTATATCTATTAAAAATCTAGATCCACAGTGAAGTTAACATCCCCCTACAATAGTAACAATTTATCTTTGCCTTACCTAGCCTATGTAACTTCAAGTTGGTTGAGTTTAGTTAAGAAGAGAACATGTTACACTGAAAATGCAACTGCATCAGTTTTGCTGGTCTATGTGTGTGCTCTTTTACAGTGTGCAAAGCATTACAGTAAAATCCTGTGGATTCTAGTAAAAAAAAAACCCCAGCATATTTGTACTTGAATATACTAAAGAAAACCATTAGAGGATTTTTTTTCCAGATTATTCAGATGGAGATATTGAATATGTTTTCCTTATACTGAGAACATTTTTCCTGCTGAATGCACGATCTTGAAATAATTGTTGTGGGCCAAAAGCTGAATTTTGTCTTCATTTGGTTTTGCTTTTAGACTCCATGGGTGAAATGTTTACCAAATTACCAATGTCTATTGATCATAGCCTGTGTTGCAGTGTATAGCTAGAGGGATGCATCTGCCACTGTGATTACTTTTCAATACCTTTGTTGTACTGAAGAAATTATGTTAAAGTAGCATTAAGAAATTGAAATTAGATTTCAAGTAAACAAATATTCATCTGGCTTTGCTGAGTTCACCATGTGGCTCTTTATTTTTGGGGAATACTTTTGGAGTGTATGTTTCCCAGTTTTTATTTCCAGTATTTTGCTTTAAAGGTTGAAAATGTTTTAGAAATTAAATCTATTATGTACATTACTCTGCAGAGTACCCTGATTCAGCTGACTAATAAGTACATTAACTTCCTCACTCTGCATTTATGGATAATTCCAGATTTTGTACTTTGTAATAAATTTAATTGGTAATTATGTGTATAATAAAATTAGACCCTCAAATTTCTTCAGATGCTTCTCTACATAAGAATTCTGAATCTCTGTTCCTCTTGGCATTTTTGTTGCACAGCTCTTACTTCAATTCATTAGGCAGGGGAGAGCTAAATAGCTTGTTGTAATTGAACAAGTGCTATTACTGTCTAGGAAAAAAAAAGAAAAAGACAGAGGATTTACAACCTACTTAACAAAAAATAAGTAAACAAGAGAATGTTCCTTAGCCTTAAATTATGATAGTCCATGGTGAAGGTACTATATTTCTTGGGGTATAGCATGTGCCAAGAAGCAGTACAAAGTCTGAAACAATACATAAATAATGTGAAATTTCAAGGTTGCTACTGCAAGTGCTTTGCAAAATCAACACTCAAATATAAAATGCAGGGCTGAACAAACCCAGTACACAGCAGCAAGAGCCAGACATTCAACTTACAACATGCTAAGTAGGTCACTAGTGTGTGTACAGCTTTAACATATCAATTGATACAAGGTTGTGTCTTTTATATATTTGGCATACTTGGATTTGCAGCTGAATATACTTCTATGTTTGATCTTTCTTTAAATTTTTCCATTAAGTTTTTTTATTAGGAAAAACCCCACGACAGCGTTGTTGTTCAGTTTTTAAAGGCATAGCGAGAAATTTGGAGCTCCAGTCTTCACTGTAACAATAGCACCCTCGTGTATGCCATCAAAAATGTTATGTGCAAAATGGCTTTCTTTGTGCCAAAGCTATTTCTATTGCAATTCCAGTGATTTTACAGCACATATTTAATAACTGTAGGTCAATAAATAGTGAAAATGTTGGAAACCTTTTTTAAACCTTCCATCACATTTCTTCTTTTCCTTCTTTGACTTAATAAATATAATCTTCCTGTTCTGACAGTTGTAAATAGAACACAGTGGCAGAATTATTCTGAAATAGTGAACCAGCTAATTAATTAGCTGAAAATTATGCTGTAATCCCCCTGTAATCTCCCTGCTTTCCCTATTATAATTTTAGAATCTGCTTAATATCTTTAGCATATATCTGAGTGTATGAATGTGCTTTTAATGTGCATTTTTTATATCTAAATGTACATTCTTCATTCAAAACTAGCAAGTATGGTTTGGTGACAGCTCTGTTAGGTGCTATAATAATGTGAGGAAGAGTGACTGTGGTGTCACATATACATTAAAATAAGCTGACTCAGAAGCTCACAGTTTCCTTGACAAACACAACTGCTGTTAGTTGTTTCTAGCTGGTCATTTTACTTTGAAGTTGGTGTTTTTAATTAATATCAATGCTCTTGTTGGAAATAAACACTAAAGAAAGTTATTTTTTGTATGTTAATTGTCAGGCTGGCAACTTTTAGATTCAGATTTGGGACACTTTAAATGGAAACTAAAACAAAAATGTTGGTGACAAGTATCCCGAAGTTTTAGAATTTTCCTAGGCTGCTGTTCAGATACTGGATTAGTCTCTTTCAAACAGAAAATTCCAAGAGTTGTTTGGAATAGATATGAAATGTAGGACTAACTGGGAGTTACAAATTTTCAGAGTGTGTTGATCTGTATTTTTAATTACTTTTAATCCATCAAAACAAAAAGCACTCTTAAAAATGAGTAGCACTAGCTTATTATTTATGAGAGACCACAAAACAGACATAAAGGCATAAATTGCGTAAATTTTGTGTTTTGCTTTATGTGAATGAAATTCACCTTAGCAGTATTTGTTTTCTATTTAAATACTACAGCAATGTGTGGAAAGGACCACACAAACTGGGAGATGTTCTTTTCCCAGTTTGGTGATGCATGAGGCCTTTCAGGAAGTCAGACTTGGTTGCTTGGTGTGGGTGGGTCTTGTGGTTGCACTGACCACTGGGCAGCCATGGGTACAGAGGGCAAGCCACAGCAGAGAGGGTCCTGTCCCACCAGGGACTGGTGCCTAAAGAGGTGAGCAACAGGAGCAACAGACACACCTGCAAAATAAATTCCTCCTTGTCATGCAGGTTTGCCTTTTTTGTACAGGGTGCCTTGAGCACTGGAAAAGAAGTTGAATGGGGAATTCAGATACAATGAACAAAATTTTAAATATTTTCTTTAAATCATAGTGCAGTTTCTGTATCCTGTGAAGTCTCTGCTTATACTTATATATGCTGCCAAAAGGTTCAGTTTACTGGGAATGCTGTTTAGGCTAAGACAAAAGTGATACACCTATTATGAATTACAATTATCAGGAAAGAAATTGACTTCTAGTTCATAGCAGTGACTTTTTAATTGTGTTTTGAAAAGTCACAGAATCATCAAGGTTTGAAGGAACCTGGAAGATTATTTAGTCCAACCATCAATGAAGCACTACCATAATCACCCCTAAACCCTGTCCCCAAGTGCCACATCCAGAAGCCCACCCACTGAAAATAGCTGCAGTAATTCCTACACTGTTCTGTGCCTTGTGGATAGTGTAGATTTTCTAAAGGCATAAAGTAGGATGTGATAAAGACAGATTAAGCACATCATTGGCTTTTTTTTACTGGTTTGCTTTTGGGTAATTTTTAACCTACCTTGTCATTTCACAGTTCTCATCTACTTGATACTTCAAACAGTGAAAAAAAACCACCCAAGCCTGCATGCATAGCTGTTGTGGATTTCACTGTCTAAGTTTAATTTATAAATGATAACATTTTTTATTTCTGTTTTGTTGATTGTTAGCTCCTGTGGTGAAGCCAAAAACATTGTAACATGGCCAGTCTGGTCTTAAGGAGAAATATACTCACTAATCTTTGCTTGAGGAATTACCCAAACTTGCTTTCAACAGTAATTAAAACTCACCACTTCAGAAAACATTTGAATTGAACAGCTAAAATATGCTTTTTCAGATGTTGTTCCAGGTTCTGAGGGTGATGTTTTATCCATTAAGATACCGACAACCTTACAGAGATTTATCTTACACTTTTTCATTGCAGCTGAAATTACTGGCAATACATAATGACTATTATTTTTTGCTGAAAGACTTTAAAGTGCCTGCAAAGTGCTGTTACTTAAAAAGTATTAAAGAAGAGACAGAACACTCAAACCAACATTTACATTGTAGCAAAGAAACACACTAAATACATGGATTTGTTTTTATAAGCCCTCACCGTTGTTTATTTGCTTTTTCTAGTGACTACTACTTCTAGCATGTGAATATATGGTTTGTAAAATGCCAGTTCCCTGCTCAATCCAAGTCTATTGAAGAGCCAGACCTTTTTCAGTTCAAAGAAAAGTTACTAGAGCACTGAAAAACATGAGGCAGAACCAAAATCTGTACATTTTAGTGATATTTCTCAGTGGCTTAAAGCAACAATCTGAGGAAGTAGCAGAGGGAGAAGTACAGAATGATGCTCTTGCATACTTTTACTGGTTTTTTTTTTTTCCTCTGGTAACTGAAGGTTAAATGAGTAGCAAGCAGAATGCCTTAAACAAGATTGGTATATTGATTAAAACGCTGATTTAACAGCTCGCTTTCTCCCTTTGGAAACCTGGAAAAGATAAGCCAGCTGCTGTCTAAGAGTGCTGAGTGTCCACTGAGAGTACACTATCTATCATCACAATATGGTGATGAGAGGTGTTTTATGTTTGTGTTAATTTCCCCCACTAAATCAGTAATTATTACAATCCTGTCCCTGCTGTTTACCCTGCAGCTGTTTTTCCATTTGTCGAGAGAGCGGGTGTTCTCAGAGGACCGCACACGCTTCTATGGTGCAGAAATTGTCTCTGCCCTGGACTATCTGCATTCTGGGAAGATTGTGTACCGTGATCTCAAGGTAAAAAAAGAAAGGGAAAAAAGTAATCAAATTTTTGTTTTTGCAGAGGCTATGGGGACAAACACAAAGTAATTATAAAGTTGCACTATTCAGAGTTAATGGAGAAAAAAATCTGTGTTCAGTTTTAAGTTCTGTGTGTGCTGGAGGAAGTTGTTTGATGTAGTAATCTCTAGATGGGTACATTCCCTCACTTTATTTTGATTATGAAATGAAACAGGGTACTGTAGTGGCAACCCTTGAAGGAGATTTAAACTTCTGATCCTCATCCTCCCTACTCCCTGCTCTGTTACTCATAACTTAACTTAGATTTCAGCACAAATCTCAAATACAATTCTCAATGTCCCAAAACAAGGGAAGTGGTGAATTGGGACGATGTGACTGGCTTCTTTTTATCTCAGCAACCAGGTGTTTCTGTATGCATTGGAAACATTTAAGAGGATTCAGAATACTTCAATAGAAAAAGAATTTATTTCAGCATTGATTTAAAAATTATTTTGTTTCTTGTGTCTTGGGAAAGTTTCCTGGTTTTGGAATGTAGTTTGTTTTAGATTTGCCAGTGTATACAGTTGCCAAGTACTCTGTTACACACTATGACCATGTTATATGGAAAAATAACCTCTGTTTTCAACAGGAACATTTTCTAACTTGTCTAAGAGGAACCTCTGAATTCCATGATGAGACAGTTTTATTTCTGTGTCAAGCCTTTAATTTCATAAACAGGAATTGTGCTTTCCTGTTGTATATGCAGAGTAGGGGAATTAATTCATGCAATCCTTTGTACAGAAACCCAGGAGAAGGAGGCAATGGTAGGCAAGTTCTGCTCAGGGAGGCAAACAGAAAAAAAAATACTGGGCTACCTGTTTGTAGCAGAATCTGTTGTAACAATGTGAAATGCTGTGAAATGCTGTGAAAATACAGAATTGTCTGGTCAAGGAATGATAGGTGATCGTTTTTAATTTAAATTCTAAATAATAAAGAAAGAGGAGTTTGACATCATTATTCTTCTATTTTTCATGTTGTCTACTTTGCATTTTCTTTGTAACATAGTTAGACTCAACAGGAAATCTATACTTTTGATAATATTTCAGGCTTTATGCAGACTTAGAATGACAGGGCTATGATTGTTCTATGCTAGCATTTTCACTACATGCCTTATAATTAGTAAAAAATCAAACCATTTTCTGTTGAGAAAAGTTGCTCAAAGAATGTTTTCTTTGGTTTCAGTTCTATCTGTATTTTGAGTACAGCTAATTGAAACCTTTTTGGAAAGTGATAGTAGCCATTATTCTGATGCTTTCACATTTCAAAGCAAGGATCATATATTTAAAAAGCAGTGCAAAGCATAGGGAGGTGTAAATTCACAATTGAAGAAGTGTCCTTTGCAAGTAGACAAGGAGGAATTTACCTCAGGGGTGTTTTTGTCAGTAGCTGCCCTATCCCAAATTCTGTCTATTATTGAAAAGGTTCTGGAAGTTGGAGGTATTTTAAGGATTTATGGATACAGGCTGTTTCATGACAGTATAGAAAGTAAAAGGTGTCTTGATCAGTGGCTGTCATGTTAGACCAAAGGAAACCTCTGAAGTCATTGACCTGGGATTTACTATTGTAAACTGTATTTAAGTATTAACTAATTGTGTAACTCCTGTGGCAGTAAACACTGTTACATGCCGTAATATGGTAGATGCTGTTATTTTTTTAAATTACAAAATAATTACATTCTTTTGCAAGGAATAACTTTTTTTTTACAAAATTGATGTAATGCATCGATCTGTCCTGTTAAGAAATACTAAGGGAATATTTTTCTCCCCAACACAGTTAGAAAATCTAATGTTGGATAAAGATGGACACATAAAAATTACAGATTTTGGACTTTGCAAAGAAGGAATCACAGATGCAGCAACTATGAAAACATTCTGTGGTACTCCAGAATACCTGGCACCTGAGGTATGATTTAGAATATTTTCTTATAATAAAATGTTTCTTTTCCATTTAATTTTAGACTGACAGTCTGCCTGATTAATACTCTATAGCTTTTATTCAGAATGGAATGTGCTGCTATTCTTTGTGGTGGTTGTATATATATTGGTACTCTGCTTCTTAGTGTTTAAAAAGGCCTCTAACGTGCATTTTCCTTCTTATGTTTGCCTTTCTCTGTTAAAGTTTTTATCTTCCAATGATTTCTTCAAAAATAATCTTCCATCTGTCTGTCACTTGGAACATATGATCCTGCTTAACTGAGCTGTATAACTAGCATTTATATAGCCTCAGTGGAGGCGAGGGGGAATAGGAAGGTACTGAGTTGAGTTTGATGGGTTTTATCTGAATTCCCCGGTTGCAGGGAGAGGGAGTTGAAATTTTAGATATTTCTGCTAAAAGCAGTTGAGTGTGTCAACCCCAAAACTGGTGAGGTGGTCACTAAAACTGTCTGTTTCCTAGTATGTGAGCAGAAGTGGCATCCCAGAGTATGCCTCCCCATCTTTCCCATTAGCTGGCACTCAGAGTGCCAAGCATCACACTCCTTAGGAATTGATAAAAAGATGGACATGAAGACATTGCTTTGGTTCCCCTTGCAGGGACTTTGATTGGAGCTCTGGTTTGGCCCCTTGAGAGTCTGTTGTGGAAGCTCAAATTATCCAAACGGTCTGCTCCAGTATTATTAGTGCTGCCAGCTCTGCCACTGGTGCCTGCTGAAAAAAAGGCAAGGGGAGCACCACCAAGATTGTGTTTTGGCCCTGCCTGGCTTCAGTCAACAGTTCTGATTGTGCTGCTCAGAAATGTCACTCTGCCTCTCCTCAGGGGCTGCCAAATACAGCTCCAGTACCGATATGAAAGACAGCCTAATTTTTACTTAATGCTAAGGATTCTGTGGATGCTGAATTAGCCCTTATTTCCACTCTTGTCAGCATTCAAGATTTCTAATTGACATAGCGCACACCTCATACTGAGATAACTTTCTAGTCAGGGGAAAAGATTTTAAAAGGCCCTTCAGTTCTACCGCTTCGTCGAAGAAAGTTTTAAAGAGTTTTCAGGGGCACTTCCCACCTCTTGCAGCAACTCTGCACTACAATAAAAGTCTTGTTACTACATATTGCCTTTGAAGAACAACCTGCCTTAGTTTGAAGGGTGGAGGCTCTGATTAGACATAGGTCTTTACTCTCTTACTTTCAGCAGCACTGAATCCTGAGTAGCAGCCACAAGCCCTGGAGCCTGTTTCAACAATTTTGATTGCAATTAGTTTTTTATTCTAAACTGTGAAATTCAGGAATGTCAAACAAACAGGTACACATCACCTTCTGGATAGTGCTGTCTGGAAATTAAGATTTCAGGATGGCTAGGTATGTGGGTTTGAGTCTTTATAAATCTCTCAAATCTTTCAGTTTGCAATCACAGAGGAAATTGAAACTGCTAATACTTGGCTGTAAGTCAATATGATAGGTAGAGTTACTGAATCCATTTGGGATGATAGCAAGGTATTTTGATATGTTCTTTCTCCAACAGTAAAGGAAACATCAGTATTTTTAGGAGCCACTAACTTTCTCTTCATACATCTGGTACTATCATCCTTGACTCATTTGAAAATGTGTTAGCCGTCTTTCATCAAACTTGGTTTTAGACACTCAGCACAAGTTACTTGATCCGGTTTGCTTTTCTATTCTCTAGCAGCCCCACTTCTCTGCTCTACCTCCCATTATGAGTGTTTCTGGAGACCTTCCCTGTAAAAATCTGTCTTGAAGGAAATTGATTCTTCATTAACCTTGGGAACAAGGGACCTCATTCCCTTTTCCCTGAGAGATAAAGGGTTTTGAGCAAGCAACTTAGACAGGTTACTGATGTGGCATGAGAAGACTCAACAATTTTAGGAGGATAGCTGCTCGCCTGAGACAATTGTATCTATTTTTACCAGGGCACTTGACTGATAAAGGGACCCTCAGGAACCTGGGTCCTCCAGTCTGTTTGTGGGCTTGCTTCAGAGAACCAATGCTCAAAAATCACTTCTCTTTGCAGTTCAGGCCACAGAAATAATTTTCAGGTGCCAAAGATTTACTACCTTGTGGCAAACTTCAGAGCATGAGAGCCTGATGTTACAACTGGACTTTAATCTTGTTACCACACTGAATTCCTGCCTGTCTATCCCAAGACAAATGGCAGCATATACTTATGTTTTGCCTGGTCATGGTAAGTTTAAAGGCAGCTTTAGAGGCAAGATACTAATTCTCCAATTATATGCAGAAATCTATTCATCATCTGCCCTTTTAATAATATCTTTGCATCCTTTTTTTTTTCATCTGTGTCAGCTGTGATGGATGCATCCCTTCTTCAGGTTTTCAGTTCAGTTTCCCATATACTTTCTGGCTGCTGATAGAGAACACTGGAACAGTGGGCTGTGTAACACACAGGGGCAGCCTGGGACTGCTGCCCACCACCCCAGGAGACAGCTGACCAGGAATATTGCACTGATGGGAATCTGTACCCAGCCTCAAAACAGACTTAATTTTTTTTTGTAGTAATTGTGGTTTCAGTTACAAACTTGGTTTTCCCAATGCCTTTTGCACCATTGTTTGAGGCATAGAGTCCTGCTCACTATTCCATCTTTTGCAAAAACTAGGTTGCAGATGCTTCCAACAGTAGGAGAGGGAAGCAGCTAAGACAGATGAAGGTGTATTTCCTCCTTGCATGACAGACTTTCAGGTGAAGGTATCTTTGTGGATTGATACAGAGTTATTACCCAGGGCAATTTCAGAATTACTCTTGATCAGTAAATAAGCCTACCTGTTGCTGTATTTTCCTCACAGACCTTCTCTTTCTGAGATCAAAGTAGTCCTTCTGACCCTCTGTTTAAAAGACTTTCATCTCACATTGATAGGGTCTGACCACTCATATAGGACCTAACACTGACTATATAGATAATTAGGAGATCCAGAAAAATGCCCCTGTCCATGCAGAGATCAAATGGATGATGTGCCACAGAAAAAAACTGTAATGAACTTGCCAGGTTAGAGTCAATTTGCCTCTGTGGAGATGGAATTCTGGACCATCACTGATTTATCATTTGTGGAACCCATATGGAAGTTAATGTGTACCTTCACCACACTGAGCTCTTCAGGGTATGAAGGGCATCTGGCTAAGGGGTCCATAGTGCATCCCTGTCTCCTAGCCCTTCCCTGTTATCCAACACCAGTTTTCTATGGTCTAAGGGAAATTAAAATAGCATTGACTGTGTTCATCTTGCATCACTATGTGCTGAGCATAAAATACAGTAGGGATATGAACACATCCTCTAGGAAGAAAATACTTGCCACTGCCAAATAGCAGGGCTTATATTTGTTAACAGTACAGATGTACATTTGTCACACTTATTGAAGAATGAGCAAGTAACTTTTTGTTTGTGAAATTTTATAGTTTTTTGAGAATAATTTGGTTTTATAACAGTGAAATTACCCTTATCATCTGCTGTAGAACTAACACAAGCCTAATTTTTTCTGTGTGCTTAAGTGTAGTGGTAATAATTAATAATTCCCTTGGCTGTAAGAATCTATGGCATTCCCCATTTGAAAAGTATAAAATATATTACAACTTATCACTTAGCAGTTTCTCATGACAAAGAGACTATTTCTTAAAAGTCTGTTTCCATTCTCATCCTTCAAAGTAAGCTGTCACATTAGGGATCATTGTAATGTCAGGAAATTTTTGTAGATCCAATGAGAAAAAGATGAATTGTGATCTCATTTAGGTGACACAGATGAATGCTTGATTTTTTTTTTTTTCCAAAAAATGCTTCTTTTGCAGTTTTAGAGTGGCAAAGGCAAGACAGGACCACATGTCAGTATCACTTGCTTAAAAAAGAAAGAATAAAACTGAGGAAAGTACTTGTAAATATACTTGTGAATCTTTTATAAGCAGTTTGGATTTTGATAGTTTTCAGTTGACTGTCAAGGATTAGACCTGCTAATAAAGATACAGACTGCCTTCAATAGAACATTCAGGAAATGGAGCTACTTGGGCAGAGAAGTAAGATTTCCTTGGGGTCTGATCATTTATAAGGATGTTTCCTTCGATGAGGTAACAGTTTATGGATTTCTGTATTTCAGTTCAAGTTCCTAGGAGTAAGTGCACAGTTCTTGTTATAGGAGAGCAGTCAAATGTGGTACTAAGTTTTGGTGTCATGGGAGAGACAAGCTTTAAATACCAGAAATTACTTTTTAAGTTTTAAGTCTTTCTAATAACAGAAGAGAAGTTGGTTTGACTCTGAACAAGTCTGTAAGGGACTTCATGGATGCCTTTCAAATGACTCTTAAAAGGAGAGCATCTTGTAGATGATCAATGATGTGTAGGTTTATTCTAATAACAGGGAAAATGGAAGGATATCATTATGGATTATTGGCATAAAAATACAGATTAGGTGGATGAATATATATAAAAATGGTTCATATGTACAGATTACATGGATGCATTCCTATAAGAACAGTTGCATTCTATTTAAAAAAGCAAACTATTTCTGTATAGTTTGTGCAGTTACAGTTACTCAAGGGTATGTGACAATGAACAAGAAAGGAGCAGATTCATAGCCTTTACCCCTAGACAGAAGATGTGCATGTCCTGTAACTAAGACCAGTGAGGATCAAGGAAATACTAAGATCAATTATACAATGCTTATTTGGCCAGTATTTTTCAGTGATTGTTCTTCTAAAAATGGGAGTGAGAGAGAGATCATATGTAATCAGTTATTTCCCTGAGTTTTATCTCAGAGGAGTGAAGGATAGAATTTTTATCAAGAGGCAGCTGCTGTCTCTCCTCACACTGCACCTAATTTCTTACTTACAGCTGTTCCTCTTAGAAAGAATGTGGCTTTGAAATCATCTAGAACCTGGCTATCAAAGTTCAGTGACTGAATTTCAGCAAGGGAAAGCAGGCAAACTCAAACTTTTCCATGTTTTCAGGAATTG